TTTCATTCACTGTAGTTGCTACGAATGGCTGCTAGGGGGCAGCAAATACCTTCCACTGCTTTCATCAAACGTTTCCCTCCTAATAATCAGCTACAAAGTAGATTGATCTCATACAAGAAGTGCAATTTCTGGTTGAAAAAAATGGAACGATCAACAGCCGATGGTCAGGAAACAGTCGGCGCGGTAATTTTTTTTTTTTTACTGTGATTTTATTTTAATTATGTCCTGTAAGAAAATACAGTTTGTAGAAGCAAGACAAAATATCAATTTTCTTCCCTTCCATTTCACTTTTTCTTCAGAAGATTTACGGAGACTTAAGGTGCTTGCCACCCCTCACGTTAAGCTGAATGATAGACATTTAGCAGGTCCACTATCGTCATCGTATTTTATCACCCAGAATCCGTGGTGACAGGAAGTGATAAACCGATAGTTGACTTATCTGTGTTCTCTTTTTTTCACGTTTTTTTCCCCCCTCCTCCAGCTGGTGAATAATCATTTGCTTTCAAAATGTCGCCTCTGTGATGTCAGGGTCCTCTCCGTAGACAGGAAGACAGAATGAGGAACGGGGGGGGGCTCTGTGGCGTAGTGACAGGCAGGCGGGCAGACAGACGTCGATGCTCATTGATCCGTGTCTCTCTCTATCTTGCGTCCGAGGAGACGCAGAAATTGTGCAATTTGTACCCAGCGCACCTTCAGTGTTAGTGGATCAATAACGCCAATCCTACAGAGCGTTTTCCTGCCCCCCCTCCTCTGGCATGTAGCTGTAGGAGCAGCGTGTGATCTCAGGTGACTTCATTATTGGCCTGGGCTGGAACATATATTTGCTGTTAGTGTTCATAAACATAGCATTACTGACTGCAAACGTAGATTGATTCTGAGCTCTCTAGCAACTGGACATTGTTTTAGTGATTGCTGACATAGTGTTTGTACTATTACTATTCTGTCTTTTGTCCATTTAAATGGCTGGACATCTTTTGGTAATTATCTTGAGCAGATATTATTAGACACGTTTTTTACGTATTAGATGCTCTCCACCCCCAACATGTATACTTTAAAGACCCCCCCCCCTCCCATTATGCCTGTAGCTGGCTATGTACTGTAAGGATGCGTGAAATCGATGCAATGCCAGAATAACTGAGCGCCAGACAGAGAAGTGGAACTCATCAACATCAATGGTCTGGGCAGGCCTTTCCTGCTGTGAACGTTTGGGCATCAGCGAGGTACTTTCGAGCTGCATCTGACTCCAAACGAACGTGGCCCTGGGTCGATAACTTCAGCTGATGTCCCGCATCAGATGAACATTTGTTTGTGAGGAGTCTTTCTGGTTTATTCAACGGTATCCAGACATTTTCTTTTCTGGGAATGCAGCAAAACAGATGCATGAGCAAATTAGCACAAAGATTTTGTCTGCATGTCCAGAATTAGATTATGTTTGATTTGTTTGCATTTTGTTGCAAGTTTGTTATTATGAGGACAAGACAAAGACAAGAAAAAAACAAACAGACTAGGGTCTTGCTCTTTGGGCCTTGTTTAGGTTTAAATATTCAGCTTAAACTCTGTTTGCTGTGAAATTACGTCAGTCGGTTTAAAATGAACGAGTCGTTGACCTCACAGAAGGTTTAGTAACGTGTTTGTTATTGGAGTCAGGGGTGAGGAAGCCGGATTGTGTTATTGGCTGGATGTGGTTTTGCGTTGAGCCGTCGGTGTGTTTCATTAGCAGGTCGTTACTGCACCGGCGCTCTGTCTGCTTAATGCCGTTCCCTCCCCTCGGGTTGCCCGCCACCATGCCCCTGATCAGAATGCCTGCCGGGCAGATAAATGCCAGCATGTGATGTCACCCCCCCGACTCCTGCGGCCTTGCCCGAAGCACGTACCCCTCCATGCCCCCATGGCTCCTGTGGGGTACAATAATGCACTGTGACAGATTCATTAACGTGGCACGTGCGGCCGGCGGTGCGGGTAGGCTGGCTCGGCGACCGCAAACAAACCGAACGTGGCCTCGGTGGCGATCAATTCCACGAGTCAGCAGGGTGCCTCACTACAGTGAGTACAAGGTCCAGCGATTCTGGATAAAGGCTGTGTGCACCTCTAATGAGGCCAGGGTCTCTCACACACACCCATAGGCACTCAAGGCACGGAAACCATCTGAGAGATGTTCTGCTCTTCCACGATCAATAATCGCCAGGCGTAAAACCTGGGAAGGTTCACACCTTGTCAGAGTGATATTCATGCCGCCCAACCTGGCTGCGACCTCCCTGCCCCATCCCATTGCTTACTAAACTGTCGGAATTAACACATAATCACTGTTGAAGTGTTAAACATTTTACATTGCAGTTAAACACTAAACATTTTGCTCATGAGTGAAATTGCGAGGGCCAGTCTGTGATCTCAGTCTGTAATGATTCCCAGTAGTGAATGTGTGGTAGGTTAGGGTGTTCTCTCCTGGTCAGTGTTCAGCAGACCCATTAATACACCTATTAACACAGCATCGTGTTTTACCTTTACGTTTTGTCCAAAGCAACGTAGAGGTGAGGCAAACAACACTTTGAAAACATACGCGTACATGCCATGTCAAGGAGTCAACCTGGCAAAGTGCAGCTAGGCTGGGCTTCCAGTGAATTCCCAGGTACAAGTTAAGCAGTATTGGAGCAGGAGCTATACAATAACTTCTACCAAGAACCTAATAAGACTATTCAAGGGCCAGAAGTGCTATAAGAACATCCAGTGACAATTGAGGCATTTCATGAAGGTGGAGAGATGACTGGACATGGTTTTGCAGCTCATTCCATCATCAGGGAACCACAGGAGAACTGTCATCTCTTTTTGATTGGTAATGTAAGTTTGTGATGGGTGACCAACACAAATTGTTTTTTCTCCAGAACAGTGGAAGCTGCTCCATGGATCTGATGTGGTGCAGGATAAGAGCACGGTCTTGTGCTTTTCACAAGTGGCTACGATCCTCCTCCATCTTGCATACAAGGTCCAATAACCACTGACTCCAAAGAAGAGTTTTTTCAGGCACTGCCAGGCATATTCCCACACCAGAACCAGAACTGGAATTGGACGGGTGTCTTTAAATGGCAGCGGGTTCCTCTTGATCTCACAGCTGCGCCCAGCATGCAGAAAGAGGAAAACAGTGATTTCAGCAAAGGTCTGTCATTAACTCAGTTCTACAGCAGATACCCAGGGTACGAGACACCTCCGTAACCCTTTACATTTAACTTCTAGCATTTTTCTTGATTTGTTTCATAATTACGGACTGAGTTTGATATATGTTCTTTTAGCAGGTGTGTATGAGCTCATGCCCTGTAGAATCCATATATGTGAAGCTAACTTAACATAGTTGCCGGTATATGCTGCCATTAAGGTTAAGAGGATCGCAAGTCATCTCGAGTGCCCTGTCAGTGAGCCTCAGCTTTCGGCAGAGCCGGAGCCCGTAGTGACAGCGTGACACAAAGGAACAAAAGAACGTGGCTTATTTCAAACAGCGACACCAGCAGCCGTGGCACAATGACAGTGACTAATATGTCACGCCTGGTAATCCGAATTGGGCTGGAAACACGGCGGCTGCTTTGTCTCGGCAGATTGTGGTGACATTTAAACAAACCCCCGCTGTTCGTCACATCTAAGGAGGTCTAACCTCCATCGTCGTTTATCATAACGCACGCTCTGAGCTGGCTTGACACAGGGGCCGTGTGGAAAGACAAGGGGATCCAACGGGAGCGTAAGACCAACCCTTCACCCCTCCCCCCCAAAAAAAGTAAAGAAATGAAACTTCGTTGGTAGATGTTGTGTAGCTCTTGCTCCAATACTGCTTATACCTGTACCCAGTGGTGTAGGAGAGAGGTTGATATTGGGGGGGGTGGGTATAAGTTAGTAATTAAAATGTAAAAGTCTATTTGATTGGGTGGGACAGAAGAAGCCTCTGGTTCTTACGCCCTTGCTTGTACCTCTGCATTCATTGGAAGCTCAGCATAGTTGCATTTATGCGTCGCCGACTCCTTGGCAACACGCACATTTACAAAAGTGTCTGCAATATAAATGTACATGTAAGTGAATTCAGTGTCTGTGAAGTTTCTACGGCTAAACAGCTGCAAGAAAGTGTTCCCTATCACTGAGGGCAGCGCTGCACTTTACACCGTAACAGACGCCCTGACTGCTTCCCTCAGCATGCGTTCAGTGAGCAGACAGACATGTATCGCGTATGTGTGCCGGTATACTGACACGGACGGGCCGTTTTTATCTAAGCGTTACACCGCCCCCCCTCTCTTCATTTGTCTTTATTATGCACAGACCACTGAAGTGACACTTACCAGTTCTATTAATTGGATAGAAATTCATTGTTCACCCCAACTCCAGCTCCCTCTAACATCAACAGGAAGACAAACCAAAAAGTGTGAGGGTGGGTATGTGTGTGTGTGTGGGGGGGGGGGTGAATTGGGGGTCTGCATTTCATAAGGATGGGAGGAAACCAAGTGGAGACCTAATGGGATCCGAATATTTGGGCGAGGAGACCAGACGGGCAGAAACATCTCCCCGACTCTGCAGCCTCTAATTAACGGGAGAGCTTCACCAGAGAAAGGGCCCGCAGTCTTAACAAGCCAGGCCCCCTGTGTGCCGAGGTGGATGCTGCCCTTTCGCTGAGGAGATCTTCCTTTTAAAAAGCCTTTTTCTTGATATTAAACCTCTGTTGGTGGCGGACCAATCTACTTCCACCCCCCACACACACCCCCATGTCACTAGGCAAGGTCCTTCCTGGTGCTGGGCCAGCACTGTAATCAGATTCCCTTTGAAGGGAGTTTATGTTGGACCAAAGAGAAATGCTCTTCACCTCAATGACATTCCAAAAAATAGCAATGTAACGTTATGTGAGGCCCTACTCCCTAACAGAGATCCCATAGCTGGAGTGTTAACAGAGAGCTCAGCGTCATGATTGGCTTGCTGAGAAGTGGGGATGCTAATTCATCCACTCACCTGAGTCTTTTCCCCCTCCCCGACAGTCAGAAGCCATCATTCCTGGTCACCACTCTATAGTGACGCAGGCAGCCCACTTTGTAGCCTGGACTGTACGCCTTGGTCCCACAGGATGCTGGGAGGTGGAGCTGGGAGTCCTCTGACGGTAGGAGGATTGGCCTCTAAGGGACCCCTCCCCTTGGCCGCACCCTGAAAGGTAAGCCCTCATCTCATTCTTAATTTTAGCCAGCTTAACGTCTGGCTAAAATGCTCAAATAGAACTTGATAACAGAATACCCTGATAAAGGGAAGCATATCCATCCATCATCACCCAGAATCACACTGTTTAGGGGATGGTGGGGAGGGGGGGGGGGGGGGGGTTTAGTAGCAGGGGTTTTATCTCCAGTCTAATAAACCTGAGCAACATAAGGATTTGGAGAGCATTTGTAGTGCATTCTGGGAAGGCTGCTTGCAAATGGTATTATTTTAAATTCCAACCTGTGGACTGTGGTTTTGAAAATGAGACGAAATATTCTTCTTCTGTTGTGAAGCATAGATATGGTTTCTCTCTTGACCTGTATATTTTAATACAATCTTTCATAACAATAACATTGTTTATATACTTCACTATGTCATAAATTATGTACACATGGTACACATGATGACCCATTCCTTTTTCTGTTTCATAATATGGAATTAGAATTAGAATGAACTTTACTGATCCCTGAGGGAAATAGTAGTGCATACAGCAGCGAGTTTGTTGAGCACAGACAAACATGCATTCAGTGCAAAAGATGCAAGACAGTACACATAATACAAACGAAAAAAGTAACACAGTGCAAACAAATTTAAAGGTACACGGTACACAAATAAAATATCTTCAAAAACTGGATAATATAAAATATTAATTAAATAAATATCAAGAGGGAAAAAAGCAATAAATACATATATTAGTGGAGGTAATGTGCTATTAAAAAAAGCATTAATAAATGTATAATTTTTGTAAATATTAATATATTAAGTAAACAAATGGCTGACTGTGAAGCAATGAATGTGAAAGTGGGGGTACAGACCATGAGAGAAGGCCTTTACCTGAGGGGGGGTCCTAGAAACCATATCCATGTGCATCCTTTGCTTTTTGCTTTTGATCATTTCCTGCACCGAGCGCTGGGACAGCTCATGGACACCCAGTGCAGTATTGTCAGTGAGATAATGGGGGCCTGTACTCAGCATTGGGTAAAATGGCCACCGGGAAATCTACCTCCCCCGGGCAAAGAAGAGTTACAGGTCAGTTAGGCAGCTGGGGTGACTTTTTTGTGTCAAACTTTATTGCCAAAATTTGTTATTGACAGTCAGAGTCCATGATTGTTTATATAAACAGCAGTGTGTTGCTGTATTATTATGGGGCTCGGTGCCTTCTTCACCATTGAACAGTGAGGTAAACCTGTCTCTTATATTCTCTGCTAAAGGGTTAAATGGCAAAGTAAGAGAGGAACATGACCAGAGGCTCCAGGTCTATTATAAATTAGAGTTGTCAGAAACCCCCTATTATTTTCTTCGATGGAGTAGCTGTCGACCAGGAGGGGCTCTTTTGAGGTCGCTTTTCTTTGCGGAGGTCCCTGGGCTTCAATCCGGTGAAGCCCGTACATTAAAGTACTCCTGGTGCTGTGATAAATGAAACATCCTGAGACTTGATGCTTCACTGTCACTGCGTGATCGAAATCCCAAAAAAAATATTTTGGTGACTGCAATTATGTGCGTATCAGTCAGGCCGGTGCGGAACAAAGACCATGGCCGGAGAAGGTGAAGGGAGCTGCTCTTCCACCGGGTCTAGGCGGGAAGGCGGGTGAGAACCCCAGCTCCGCTCTCGCTTCAGTAAGCAAGCCGCTCCTGGTGTTTGCAGTCATGTGACCCCTGACCCAAAGACTTTAAAAAAAAAACTTCTACAATCTCAGACTTGCTGAATTTCTCCAAAAATGGAGGTTTTTTCTTGCCTCCATATAAGACCAGCTGCTTAGGTTTTGGGTTTATTTGTGATGAAATGAATAAAAGAAGAGGAAAACTGAGACTTTAGTCGATTTGGATGCTGCTCAGGCTCTCTATCATGGGCACCTCCTGTGGGATGGCGCTGGTATATTTGTTTGCTTTGAAATACATCCCAACAGACTTGAAGCTCTCAAGCCGAAGGAGGAGAGCGATCTTCTCTGCGCTGTGGGGTGCCAGCATATGTACCGGGTGTGTGTGGGGGGGGGGGTCATGTGACAGCTTCCACCTGTATGCACGAAACCCCCCAGGGTGAAGGGCCCCTGAAAACCTGCAAAATGCAGTCGTCACGTCTCCCAGAAATCCCATTTGCGCCTCTAGCTTCCCCTCATCGGCGGAACACGTGTCGAGCAATTTGGCCCCAGAAGTGCCCCCACACGCCCCCAGCCTGCGACGGCCCTGCAAAAACTCGGCACCCATTGATTGTTGCGGCTCCTTTTCCCAAAATGGCATCCATCCTGAGGTCGCAGTACAAAGCTCTCCAGCTGCCACTCTTCCAGCTTCTGGAACGTCAAACTTCAGCAGCGGTCGGGGGGGGGGGGGGGGGCGATTGTGCTGCCGAAAGCTGCCTCAGGGCATGAGCAAAGGCCTAGCTGTTGCCCAGCAGCCGAGAGAAGATCCTCACAAGCAAATATCACCTTCAGAGAAGTTCAGGATACATTTCATACTCCCATCCACCTGACTTGGCCAGGAAAAGTGTGCTGAAGTTGACAGAAATCTCAGCCGGTTCTGCTCCAGAATCGCTCGAAAGTTCAGGGATGTGCGAGCAGAGCATCGAGAGTGATGGTGACCGTCGTTTGACACCTTGGCGTCTCATGCAAGTGGACTTCAAGGGGCCCAGTCCCGTCCTCAGCCTGTAGTTCTGGGCCTGATCCCTTGGCTGCATTTCAGCCTGGCCCATGGTGAACACACCCCCACTGGTTCTTCTGAGGAGGGGTTATAGAGTCAGTAGGTTGTCATTACCTAATGAGGGTGGGTTTTTAAGCCCCCTTCTAGGTATTAGAAGACGTGGGAGTCAGTAGCCCTAGAACCCTGAACGCACTTAGGCTTCCTCAGCACTCCTGCCGAAACCCAAACAATTGAGTGGCGTTGGAGTCGATAATTATTCTGCGACACGCTGAGTGGCGCTGATTACATGTTAATCTGCAGCGTCATTCTGCAACTCGGGCCCATTGCGGGTGTCCTCCACACCGAGGCGAGCCTCTCTGACAGACACATCCTGCAAAGACAGATTTGCTTGTTTAGGTCTCCATAGTGTTTCTTAAATCCCTCCATCCATCCTTCTTCCAGCCACTTATCTAGTGCATGGTCGCAGAGGGGGCCTTGCCTATCTCAGACAGCACCGGGCACAGGGGGCACCCTGGATGGGCAGACAGCACCGGGCACAGGGGACACCCTGGATGGGGCTCCTGTTTGCAAGACTTTATTATATGTTGTTAGCAGAGGTTATTTTTTTATTTCACAGTTACTGGGTTATTGTCAGTGTTACGTTATTACGCTGATAATGTGCATCAGTTCAATTTCCCTCTGTGATTATCACTGTCTGCTTGTAACGATACAGTTTATCAGGTTTAGCATTGCTGTATAATTAAAATGCAAATGCATCATATAATCACAAATGGAATTACCTATACTAGGCATTTTTTTTCTATATACCAAGTGGCAAAGGGAAGAGAGAAATGCATACTGTATGTGTGTATTTTTTTTAACAGACATGCCCCTCAAACTGAGATTTGTTTTGTTTTGCTTTGGTTTTTATAAACAGAATTTATCTCAGCACGGTCCCCAAAAAACAAAACATTGACCTGCTGCCCTGCATGGGTCTCGCACTGGTACAGCAATTTTCTTATCTAGGGCTGGTGGTTGGGAGGTGGCGGGTGGTTGGGAGGGATTGCTGTGGATTGGGAAGCCGTACCCAGGCTAGAAAAACCGCTTCGGTGCTCTGGAGAGTTAAGGCTTAATGTCATGTTCGTTGGTGTCGAAACAAGCCATCAGGTCAGTCAGACTGTGATGGGGCCCCGAAGATGTCACCGTCGGGGAGTGATGTCTGAATTTGGCCCATCAATGTCTGAATCAAGTGCCTAAAAGGCACAGCATCTGGGAAGGAAATGAAATGCTCTGGTAATTGTATTCTGTCCATTCTTTGCAGATTAAAAACCACACCATTTGCATTTCTGCGCAATTTGTTGTGACATTAGCGTTTTCTCATTCCCTCAACCTGCCAATAGGGGGCACAGTGCATCCACACTCAAGGTGCGTGAGTGTCAGATGTGACTTACCCGGCTGGCTTTGCTTCACAGGGGATTAAAGCATCAGGTGGCATGCTCTCTCCTATTAGTTGCCACAGAACACTGACTCCCCCCCCCCCCCTCCATTGCAGTCCACACATGGACACACTAATGACATGACATGGTCCATTCAGAACATGTTAGAATGGCTGAAATGCATCGGAATTCCGGACCTTCAATAGCAGCCTAAATAAGCGACCATTTGAGTTATACATATACTGTAATCTATTGCTATTACTTATGTAGACATAGTATAAAAGACAGATAAAGAAACACGATACAACTATAACGACTCCATATAATAATTATAACCAGATTACTGGACTTTGAATTTGACTTCAGATGGATTGATGTCACTCATATAAGTGAGTAAAAACCTATTAAGGGATATAAGATAGTAATGCTACTGTGTATTGGGGATATATTATGGGTTTGGTTGCTGTCGCTGTGAAACAAGCAGACAGTTAATCACGGAGATGAGTGCAGGGGGAGCCAGCCCATGTGCGTTCGCGTGCCTTTCTCCCAGTTCCCGCATGCAGAGGTCCGCAGCAGTGGCGCTCTGGGAGCTGCAGGCTCGGAGGCAGTGTCACGACGGCTCAACACGGCCCTCTAACTCACACCATCGAGCTATGCATGCGGCGGGGGGGAAGGCTGAACCTTGTGAAAGGGTAATGGCTGAGCGGCTCTCATTTTCTGGAGGCCAGGAGCTCGGTGAATAGCATCCATGCCCCCCGGATTCCTACTGGGTTAGCCTCTGAAGGCTCCCAGGGGAGAGTGGGCAGTGCAGTGCTCATGAGCCTCTCCTGCCCTCCCCCTTTCTTTCTTTCTCACTCACTCTGTCTATCTGTCTCTTTCTCTCTATCCCTCCCCTCCTCTCTCCCTTACC